GTCCTGCAGCTCCCATCAGCATCATCAGCCTCATCCCTCTCATTCGCTTCTCCAGCCTTCAACCAGCAGCCTCCCCTAGGCCCGAGCTCCTCTCATCTCGGAAATGGCCACCCTCGCCCCCGTCCGATGAATATGCTCCTCACCGCTCAGTCGTCTGCCCATCAGCCTCATATCAACAACACTCATTCTGCGCTCGATTCAAAGCTCTCCTCTAGAAATGTTCAGGCTGCTGCCGTCGCTGCCTTGACCTCAAACTTCATCGCTGCAACCGACCTGTCCTCTCGTGCCGGTCAGACCTTGAACATCCTCGGTATGACTGTTCAAACAAAACTCACTACCCCACCAGCCTTCCCCCCCGGACCTGCCGCCATCGCAGCCACACAACATTCCCTCGCTCTGGCTCAACAGCAACAGCAACTGATCAACCAACCCACTTCGGCTCCCATCCCTCATCATACCAACACCCATCCTCATCCCCTCCCACTCATCCAAAATCACAACCAACCCCGCCCGCTCTCTCAGGCCATCCTACCAGCTCAACGTCCGCCCAGCTCACTACTACCCGGTTCCCTCCGACCATCTCACTCATCCACCACTACCACCACCACCACCACCACCACCGCCATCATGCTCAATAATACCTGCCCATCCGCTCCAACAAACCTCACCGGCCCAACCGCTCCGACCGGAACCCACCTCGCCGTCCACAACGAGCAGCCCAATCACGTCTCCCAGGTCGAGAGGATCTGGCGATCGGCCCAAGAAGGACAATGTACCGAACGAGCCCGCGACTATCTACTCAGCTATGCTCATGCCGTCTACTCAAAAAAATCAAACGATCCTTGCCTACTGCCGCTGCTTCATACCCTCATCAAACTACATCCCAAACACCTTCCGACTCTCCTACTTCTCTCCTGCGTCTATTACTCTCAAGGCGATTACGTTAGCTCTTTGTTCCACAACGATCAGATCTTGATGCTCGATCCAGAATATGTAAGTCGTCTTTCTTCTTGTTCTTGATCCGATCACTCGTTGATGATTGCTGCTACTCATGACTAATAAAAAAATGTTAGGTCGAAGCCATGAGTAATGTGGGTACCACCAAGCGTGCTTTAGGAAGTTGGGCTGAGGCAGAAGAGTGGTGGTGGCGAGCTATCAAGCTCAGACCGTGAGTGCAATCATCACATTTCAGTTGTTTGTTCTTCTTTTCGAATGATAGATTGCTCACACAAGTTCCTTCTTTTTGTTTTTTTTTTGATAGTACATACTTCGATGCCTTTGATAATCTTCTCGGCGTTTTATGTAATCCGCAATCGCCCCCTGTGGCTCATGGCATCCATCCAGTCCAGCCACCATCCACACAACCCCGATATAGTGAAGCGTTACGTCTGTGTACATTTGTAGAAACGGCTCTCTTTGGATCTCTTGACCAACAACTTCGACCGATCCGACTACCTTCAACGATACCCCCCTCACATGCACATCGAGTTCAAAACTTATTCTATGCTAAGGGTAATCTCCTCATCGCCATGGGCAAGGTCAGCCAAGCCCGTCACGAGTATGAAAAAGCACTCGAAGTGGTTTGTGGACCTCCGCTCCGGAAATCAGCAACCTCGATATCAACTTCAACCGGTGGATATGCTCTAATCGACTTAGTCCTTGCGACCACTTCCATCGGGATCTTCATGATGGCACTTAACGGTAGTCTGACTGGCTCGATCGGTGATCCGATGGTTCTCAAGGCACTCTCTGCTACTGGGATTTGGGATCCAAACCAATCCGGTTATCAGGCCATACTAGCCGATCCTCTCAAAGCTGCCAAGCAACGCCGACAGATCATCAAGAGCAAACTTCTTCAAATGGGCGGTGGAATTCTGCCCTACGTCTTGCTTCTACCTGAAAGCTTAGATCAACTGATCGCAACCGTCTTCAATGCTACTAATCGTGTCCTGCCCGTCTTCCAAAACCATTCGCCATCCCCCTCGAATGGGGAATCAATCCGGAATGCTGCCTTCCAATCTGCTAACCAAACCACTAGCACTGTTCTCCTAACACTCGCCAAATGTCTTCAAGATGCTATCTCGGCTCCGATGGGAGTTGGCGAGAACGATTCGAGCCTCGATGGAATCCCTCCTTCTTCATCCTTACTACTATCTCTTTACTATATCGCCATTACCCTTCATCCTTCCCCCTCTACATGTAACAATCTTGGTATCCTTCTTTCAACTATTCCCTCCACCCTCACACTCAACAATCCTTCTCAAGGTCGACGGGTCATCAATGGTCAACAGATCGCCCACACATTTTACGTTCAAGGATTGCAAAAGGATCGAAACCACCCTCACCTCTATACCAATCTAGGATCCTTACTCAAAGACATGGGCCAGCTCCCACAAGCAGTTTCGATGTACGAGAAAGCCGTCCAATGTAATCCGAACTTTGACGTTGCGCTTGCCAATCTGGCGAACGCAATCAAAGACATGGGTCGTGTGCAGGAGTCAGTTCAATGGTATGTTCGTGCGGTCTCGATCAACCCGAATTTCCCAGAGGCAGTCTGCGGTCTAGTCAATGCGCTTGGTGGAGTTTGTGATTGGCGTGACCGGGGTGCTGTGGGAAGCGAGCCAGTTGTCGATAGACATGGCAAGCTACTCGGACCACCCTCTCCAGCTGCAGATGGGAAGCTTCGGGCCGGTCTGATGGGTAAAGTGTCTAGACTAGTTGACAAACAACTTGACGAAGGTATGGCCTACGGACGGGGCGTGATGAGGCAAGCAGCATCTCTCGATCAATGGCTAGAAGCCATCGCAATCGTCAAGACTGGTCGGATGGATGGGCTGAATGAAGAGGAGCGCAAGAAGTGGCGGAGCAAGTTTGAGGTGTTTTGTGGATCGACAGCGCATGACTCTAGGACAGTCACCGCAGCCGGTACGGACCGGTACAACGAGGGTGGATTCCTGATCCGGTTGATTGAGCGTTGTAACCGTCAAATTCAACGTCGGTGGTACGTCGACACGTATGGTGAGGTGGTTAGTCTAACCAAAGGCAAGGCACCGGCTATCGAGTTGGCCACCGATGGCTCCTTGAGTAAATATCGTCGATTATCACTCCCTTCCGCCTTACCGGTACCTCCGGTGCCGACAGTCTTACCCTTTCACACGTTCACTTACCCATTAACCGCACGAGAATGTCGCCTGATTTCCCATCGCAATGCCCTCCGGATCTCTCTTGGTACTCTTAACCAACCTTGGATTCCATCATCAGTCTATCCACCCCCGCCGCCGCCATGTCCAGAGATAGATGAACACTCAGACCCTCCCGGCATCGCTCGACTCCGGATCGGATACGTCTCTTCGGACTTCAACAATCATCCTCTCGCCCATCTCATGCAATCTGTCTTCGGTATTCATAACCGCGCCAAATTCGCTGTCGTCTGTTATGCGACCAGCCCATCCGATGGCTCTATTTATCGCAAGAAAATTGAACAGGAAGTCGAATCTTTCAAAGACGTTTCTGGTTGGTCTCACGAAGAAGTCGTCAAAGAGATCCTCAAGGATCGTATCCACATGTTTGTCTTGTTTTTATTTAATATCTCTCTGAATTTGGATCATGCGTTTGGTTTTTACCTAACGAACGATCCATTTTTTCATGTAGCCTGATTAACCTCAATGGATACACCAAAGGAGCCAAGAACGAGATTTTTGCTGCCAGACCTTGTCCGGTCCAAATGGAATTTGTCAGTATTTGTTAGCTCTTCTATCCCCTCTCTCGGTCAACATACTCATGCTCTTCCATTCAATTTTGCTCACAGATGGGATTCGCCGGGACTTTGGCCAGTGGATGGACTGATTGGATTATTGCTGATGTAAGCAGCGCTCGCCCATTATCTTGTAAAGACTGGTGTTAGTGTTTGAAATGAGGAAACTGATGAGAATGTTGATATTACACAGCCCGTTGTTTGCCCTCCAAGAATGGTCTCAGGCGAAAGATGGAGGAGGAGGCATCATCTGAGCAAACTGCAGTCTTTCTGTACCTCTCACGACGGCCAGGATGGACAAGCAAATGGCCCCTCTTCACTGTTGCAATCAGAGCAGGAAGAGCCTCGGATGGTGGAGTTGGTCGATGATGGACCGACGGATTTTGATGGTGATTTAGATCCAGAAAGTATGGATGAAAATTGGGTGTACACCGAAAAGTTCATCTATATGCCTCATTGTACGTCCTTTTGTTATGATTGTCTGATGTGAGCAGCCCCCTTGCTGAAGTTTGTTCTTCCCTTTGTAGCTTATTTTGTGTGTGATCATAAGCAAGGATTCAGGGAAGAACTTGCACAAGATATCAGTGGAGGGGTCGACCTGAACGGCGTTCCGATCAACTTCAAACGAGAACCACTCCTCCTCCAACAACAACAACAACACGTCGTCCAACCATTAACGGCACAATCACAACAACAACAACCTGCTCTACTGAAGGAGCCGGCCAGTAAAGAAATTGAATGGGAGACCGAAGAGTTCAAGCGCTGGAAAATGAGGAGGGAGATGTTCCCAGACTTGGACGAGCAGACGGTGATCTTTGCGAACTTCAACCAGCTCTACAAGGTCAGTAGTCTTCTTCATCCCTTTTTTTTTCTTCGTCGATGACTCCGGTTCGATCAAAACCCCCTTACAAACTTACTTCACCAATTATGACAACCAAAACTAGATCGATCCCCTGATCTTCAAGTATTGGCTCGACATTCTTGCCGCTATTCCAAACTCGATCCTCTGGCTCCTCAGATTCCCTGCCCCCGGCGAACCACATCTTAAGATCACCGCCGAGCGTTGGGCCGGTAGGGAAGTTGCCGGCCGGATCCGGTTCACCGATGTCAGTCTTTCTTATCTGCCCTCTTTTGGGACTGTATACATATGACTCATCGGGCTTTCGGACTCGCTTTTATTCCTCGATTCTTCTCAGGTTGCCCCTAAACCTATTCATATCAAGAGAGGAAGGATTGCCGATCTCTTTTTGGATTCAACTGAGGTCAGTTTTCTGTCGCTTTATGAATGTTGGGCTCTTCTAGAATTTCTCATCACTCCCCTTGCCTTTTTTTTATTCGTGCTGAACTCGATTCAATAGTGTAACGCGCACACGACAGCTGCCGAGTGAGTGGATGACTTTTTTTGAGCCGACATAAGATAACGCTTTTTTTTTTTTGCCTGACCAACATTATTTGACAGTATTCTATGGAGTGGAACACCGATTTTGACCCTGCCACGGCCGACGCACGCACATAAGATGTGTAGTCGGGTGGCGGCGAGTATTGCTCTTGCGACGGGGTACGGATCGCAAATGATAGCGACGAGTATGGATGACTACAAGGAGCGAGCGATTCGGTTTGGCCGGAGTGTGCGGTATGTGCCCCGAATGAACCAAGCAGGTACGGAGGGGTACATGTCGGGTGAGCTGGTGGAAGGCGGCTTGATTGAACTTCGACAGAGACTATTCTTTAATCGGGAGAGATCGGCACTCTTCGACACGGTCCGTTGGACCCGGAATCTCGAACGCGGACTCTGGGAGGCCTGGCGTCGGTTCGTCGAGGGCACGGATTGCGAGGAATCCTTGGAATGGAAATCTCCGCTCTCCCCTGGCGCGGCCCAGGCTCATCACTCTTGCTCGATTTGGGTCCAGGATCGCGACGACGATGGACCGGAACTTGCAGACCTTAAACGGGCTAGACTCGAACGCGCTCAGTTCATCGAAAATGAAATGAAGAATGATCGGCTTGATTCTTGAGTTACTTCTCTTCAGTCTAGGAATTCTAATCAAAATTAAATAAAAAAAACCCAAATCACAGGATTCCCTTTGCTACACATACTCTTGCTATCTTTTTTTTTCCTACATATGGGTCACATGAGAGAAGGGAAAAAAAGAAGAGTCTGATCTTGACCTGCTATCATTTACTCATTCAAAATCGAAAAACTTGAAAAAAAAAATCAAAGACAAAAATGAAAATAGAAAAAAATAAGCAAGGTTTTTCTTTGGTGTTTGTTTTTGTTTTTGTTTTGGGGAGGATGTTTAGATATGAATAAGTTTGTTTGTTTTCTTGATTGGTTTCAATGGATTTTTGTTTCTTTCTTTGTTTTTTTGGGTGGATCCATTATTTTCATTCCTCTTTAAATTTCTTCTCAATCTTCCAAAACCAACAATCACATGTGCTCAAAAAAACAACAACAACCACAAAAAAAGAAGAAAAGAAAAAAAGAAGCTCTTTCTATAAACACATCCATCCATCCATCCAAACTATAAAGGGAACCATGATTATTCATCTGCACATATATATATATATACCTCTCTCCCTCCCTGCTTGGCTCAATCCTTTCTTTCAGCTCCTTATATATCGATGCATCTCTTCTCTCAATCTTGACTATATCCTCTCTCACAAGAAGAAATATATATATATATACTATAGAGTTTTTTTTATCTCCTTTGCTTTGATCTCTCATTCTCTCTCAATATATATGTCCACAAATATATATCTCTACATATATATATCAAGTAGTCCTTATTCTACTCTTTGGTTAGTTTATATATCTCACTCTCTATCTCTCTCCCAATCTCTGTGTGTGTGTTGCTTTCTAGACGGCTTGGGTTCCTTTATTTGTGCTTGTGCTTCTTGTAGTGTTTTCTTCTTTTTTGGTTGAGTTGATGTGAGTTTAGTTGAGATCAGATGAATGGAGCCTAAATGTGAAGTGGTTTCCAAGAAGTGTTTGTGTCCATGGATGAGTATAATAAGTAGGACTTGTGTGGGTAATACGGATCCATGTATGAATGAATGAGAGCCTCCTGAATCAGATGGCATCTCCAATGACATATATACTGCTTATCTTTTCTTCTCTTGGGGGTTTTTTTGTTGATCACAGTCTCTCACACAAGAGTTGTGGAGCCTGTCTTTGGGTTTCTTGTGGGTCGGAGAGATCAGGTGGACAGTTCATCATAATGTGTCCGCATATGACAATGATGATTTGTTTTGGTATGTACAGTCTCCTCCCAGATGTTTATAGCCATCTGTTTTGATCTCCACAGCGGGAACCCAAAATTTTCAAGTCACAATAGTTGGTGGAATGGTGGAAAATGAGTCGTCTCAAAGAATGAATATGAAAAGAATAATAATGATAAACAAGATTGTAGAACTTGTAAAAAGTAAAAAGGAGAAAAATCACAAAACCTGACAGCTCTACTATTTCTTTCAGGAAAAGATGAGATCTCCAAAGTGATAGTATGAGATCTCAAAGGAATAATAAGAAGTGAACATTTGGGGGGGAAAAAGAAAATGACTATATATTGGTGGTTCAAAAAGGGTGCCTAGGGGGTCATTCATCAAGAAATGTGGCATTCTGGTACTGCAATCTCCTACTTTTGACCGCAGGGCGTCCACCCACACCATGCTCACACTTTCTTTGGATCAATATTTTTCATTTGTAATCTTTCTTTTCTTGTTCCAAACTTGCCTTCTGTGTGTTCACTTTTTCACTCAAACAAAAGATTTTAAAGTTTTCAAAAAAAAAAAAGTTGATTTTCTTTTATCTTTTTCACAAATTTTCAAAATCTTGTTTTTATTATTATTATTTTTTTTTTATATTCATTCTTTGAAACCCATTTTCCACCATTCCACAAACTCTTGTGAGTTGAAGTTTTTGGGTTTCCACTGTGGAGCTCAAAGCAGATGGCTATAAACATCTGGGAGGAGACTGTACATATCTTTGTATTTTTTTTTCAACTTGAGAGCATCATTAAGCTCAAGCTTAGAATTGCAGCAGTTTCAGAAAAGATGGCTGGATTGGCCACAATCAGCCAAGCTTGAGTAGTTTAAAGTTGGCACTGCTGATGTTTAACTGTGAACATGCTGCAGGATTGGATGAGCAATACGTGGGCCGACCAAGATGTACATCTATCCTGTCCATCTCCACCTGGGCCCCTCAATTGACAGGACATGCTCCAGAAAATTTGGGGGGGCGGGTGATCTACCCTTAATTGATTGGTTTGATATGATTTCTGGGTTCCATTTTTCACTATAATTGGAGGACTTCCCGTCGATCTGGAACCCTTGATTTGGTAGGTCTAATCCTAGATCCCAAACTCAATTTGGTGAAGAGAATCAAGTGACATTGACTTCTCATCAGCAAACAAGATTTGGAATCTGGCTTTAGGAAGGCTAAATCTAGGATCCCAGACCGACGGGAAGTCCTCCATTGGATCCCTAGAAATCAGGATGGTCATGCAGAGCTTTCCAGAATTACAGCTCAAACTTAAGATTTCATCACCTTCTACTTTGATCTATAAAGCTTGGCTGGGTGGGGAAGGTCCAGCCATGCCATATCCCAGACAAGATTGCCACCATTTTCTAAAAGTCAAACTGCTGCATGCTGTTCAAAATTGGTTTTTTTTTTTTCAACAACTTTCTCCCTAAATTCAGAATGTTGTTTGAGTGCTTATCTCACTTAACATTGCTATTCATTATAAACCTTCTACACCAACTTCACAAAAAAAGGAAATATAGCAAGGAATTTTATAAATGAATGTTTTTTTTTTTGATTTGATACTACATTTATCTGGTTCAAGTAGTTGTGGTCCATTGGGGATTGAGCTGGAAGGTTGTATATTAATTTATCTTTGTTTGTAGTATGTATGGTCTATCAAGCCACGTTGGACGCAGGCCAAAGTTTGGCCAAAATGAGGCCAAGCGCGCTTGTCCAATGACAAAGCTTGTGTGGTACATCCTAAACCAAGCTTGGCACCCTCCCAACCCCTGCTTGGCACATGCCAAAGTTGGCAAGGGGTGGGCCAAAGCCGAAGCGAGGATGCCACTCACACTAAAACCTCCTCACCCATCAAGCTGATAAGAGCAAAGACACCTTTCCACACCTTGAGGTTTTGATGGATCAAGACTGAAAGCCGGATTGGGACCGGGGCTGTCCTCCTGGCCAGATTGGCCAGCAGGAAAAGAGAGTTTTGATTTTCTTGCATCTGATTTGTAGGGGGGACATACAAGCTTGGCTTTCAGATATGTTGATCAGTTTTTTTAACACTTGCAGACAGAGAGAGAGAGAGAGAGAGAGAGAGAGAGAAAGAAAGAAAGCAAGAAAAGACTCACATTTTGCTTGGATTGTCTGATGAGGTGAGGAGGTGAGATTGGGTGACAATGGTCTGATTGGCCAAGCACTTGGGGTTGGCCCAGTAGGACTTGGCTATGTGCCAAGATCCAAGCCCCAACCAACCTGGAAGATCAAGCTTCCTGGGCACACTTCCAAGCCCTGGTGGTGCTCAGCTAAGTGGGACTTGTGATTTTGCCCAGTGTGGCTTGATAGATCATACTGCCATTACATATATTGTAAACATTTTGGGTTTCAAACTCAAAAAAAAAGTGTTACAACTTACTACTATGTATGCATGTAGCTGTATTATGTGTGTGTGTTTATAGATATCCTTTGATATCCAGGGCATCCATCATTCATCAAAAACTGGGAATGTAAATCCAGATGGCACTTCAAGAAGAAGTATTAACCTAAATGATGGAAGATGTCCCCTAGGGATTGAGAACCCTTCCAGGATGTGATTTACACCACACCAATCTCAATGCTTGGCATTTGTTTTTTTTCTTCATCATCAGTCTTGTTGAGATGGCTGTCATTTGAAATAATAGTATTTTTGATTAGAGTGCTACTATAGACTTGGATGGGGGTCTGAAAAATAAAAGACAATCCAACTGACCACTGGAAGTGCTCCAAGGTGGTAGATTTCCCATTCTGGTACGTTTTTCGGACCCAAAACATTGGTCACAACCCTGTGTATGTGATGGCAGGATGTTTTGAGAGTTGGGGTGCCCCCCCCCCCCTTGATTGACCACCCGCAGGGGAGATGCTTTTACCACAAGACCTTCACAATGTCCTAGCAGCACTACATATGCATGCACAGTGGGAGTTGTTTTTGTCTTGTGGACGCTGGGAAGGACACCCTTCCTGTGCCCATCCACCAGGCATTATTACCAGCAATTTGCTGCTCAAATTCTCAGATATTGAAGAACAGCCATGTCATCTTCGATGATCCTCCTGGACTCCATCACCTGCAAACTAACTACCCTCATCTACACCACGGGGCGGGTTTTTAGAAAACCTGCTCATCCAATGGTCGGTTTTTGAGCAAAAGAGTCCCTTGGACGCTATGAGGGCATCCAAAGGATGCTCTGGTGCCCCAAGCATCACTTGGATGCTTCCGAAAGCGTCCAAGTGATGCTCCCCAGGCAAAAACATCAACTGGATGGTCAAAAAAGTACTGTCCATTGGACAGTATTGATTGCAAGTGTCCGATGGACACAGGGAAAAAAGGTGGTGGGGGTTGTTAGTCGAAAAATTGAGCCAAAATGCAGTTGTCAGTTGAATTTTTGTTTTCAAATTTCAGATGCAGCCTGTCACTGCAGTCAATGGTAGTAGTCAAAGTTCAAAAATCTGACCTGGAGTGCAGTCAGCAGTCAAGCTCAATTCGGGTGTTCCCATATTCAAGGGGGCATAAAATGGGCAACAGCCTCTTCGACTTTGACCAAGATAGTCATCAGCTTTCTACAATTTCAGACAAGATGGTCAACAAACACCCCTTCACGACTTGAACGAGATGGTCAACAGCCCTTCACGACTTTAACGAGATGGTCAACAGCCCTTCACGACTTCAAGCCGGATGGTCAACAGCCCTTCACAGCTTCAAACAAGAAGGTCAACAGCCCTTAATCAAAACGGTCAACAGCCTCTTATGGCAGGCAGGAGAATTTGAGAATCAGTAAGTAGATTGTAAATTGTACTCGATTCCAGTAAGATGATTGATTGATTAGCTAATACATCATCTTGTCATTTAGTCTCTATCAGTGACTGGACCAAGGCTTCACCCCGTTTGAAAACCGATCAACTTTTGAATCTTGGGCTTGTGTTTCTTTCTCTTTGTCTCATCAGCATCAGAACAATATGGTCAACATGTAGGTTCCTTTTTGTTTTGTCTCTTGCTTAACTAGCTGTCTCTGACTCCATTAACATTTTCCTCTTCATTTAAGTGATTTCTTCTTGTTTCTTTGTTTTACTATTCTTATTTTGCATTATCTTGTAACAACGAGCAGTAAATAAAATATATACCTATGTATCTTAAAAACTAACAAGTTAACTGAGCCAAAATAAGATGAAATCAAATTGATAAGACTAATATTTTGGCCTATCGGAAAGAATAGTCAATACCCAAACAGCATCCATTGGATGCCTAGTTCGGTGGTTTTTATCCATCCAAATGACACCCATTTGGACAGTTTCTTGGAAAACGTCCCAATTCAAGGTTTTGAGAGTGCCATCCATAGGATGGTCATCGCAGAGCCACGGAAAACTGGCCAGACAACCATCCAGCGCACCGACCAAAAGTCGTCCGGCTCGACCCGTGGTGTAGTCCTTTGGCAGATTATGGTCATCATCATCATCATCATCATGAAGATTCATATATATGGACATTTTCTTTGTTGGAATACTGGCCATTCATATGTAAGTCATATCCACCCCTCTTATTTTCAGTTTCTTTGACCATTCAATCGGCATCCCTCATACATACACTTTCTGCACTAATGATACCGTAACACCCAGAAGATGGCATGATGATCAGGAGAAGAAGAAGGAAAGAAGGCAGTCTTCCATCCAAATTGATCCAGCCATCTTGTGGATTCATGAGCTGAAAATACCTTGAAGGAAAGGCAATGGATGAGTGGTGAAGAACAAACAAAACTCAGTTGGTTTGTTCAATGAACCTAAGCTCAGCAGCCCATGTTCATCTCAGGGAAGTTACACATGTACAGCTGGGTTTGTATGGCAGCATGAGCGATGAGTCGGGCGTGACATAAGAGTTTATAAACCCGCTAAGAACAATGACATGTCCTTCTCACGATTTGGTTTAACCTAGTTTACAGCCAATAACTCCGGCTTCTTCTTGGCCAACCTCATGTCCTTGACGGGTGTGACTTATCGTTGGCATTCTTGGCACGATCCCTTGAGCTCAAGCCACTACCGGTTGATGACCCCCCAACATTCAATTCAAGGTTTTTTTTTTCGGCTGTTTGGTTATATTATACTTTGAACGAGTTGATTTTGGTTTGATAGGTATGAGATAAGGATATAGAAACACAAGTGTGCAAGTCGAGGAGAACGACCATTTCGTATGCGAGAGAAGAAGAGAATGATAATGATAATGAAGGTCACCAATCGGTGATGCTTCCGCCATCAGCCTCGCTGCAAAGACTGGGTTTGAGCAGCTTGGATTCTACACTGGGGACGGGCTCGGCGGCCAGGCCTTCGTTATCTGCTGGTCTTCCTGCAAAGCCGTACAGATGGGGTAGTCTTTGGCGGAGATGGAGAAGAACGTGGCGGTTGATTTGTTCGAACTCTGGTGGATCAAGAGAAAGAAAGAAAAATCAATGATTTGTCAGAAAATCGCTTTGCATTTTTTTTACAATCAAAATCCGACGAGTAGTTCTTTCGATCGACTAACCTAACAGGAACCCGTCGTGTCCATCAGTACTTTCAACAACAACCAGCCGGGCGTCTGGAATAGAATTAGCAAGTTCCTGCTGCTCGACCAAAGTGAACAGGCCATCCGAATTGATAGCCACGACCAACGCGCCGGGCGGGATTTTGAGCAAAGCGGGTCCTCCTTCACGTCCGTGATCGACATCATGACTGTCCAGTTTACGGGTGAGATGGATGTAGCAATTCGCATCGAATCGTCCGACGAACTTGTCCCCTTGATATCGCAAATATGATTGGGCGGAGAATATTTGACAAGGTGCTTTGATTGCATAGATATCTGAATCTTCGGCGGGTTGCGACTGTTGTTGTTCCTCTTTACGACTGGTTGTGGAGAGGATGTAACTGCTTGCGATGAGACGATGCCATCGTTGTGAGCGGTGAGTGCTTCCAAGGTAGCTTTCTCGATGAGCTGCTCTCGTTGAGTGGAAGGCTTTGCGGTGGTGCCATTAGAATTGGCATTTATTGAAGAGCTAGAGGAACTAGGCTTCGGCAAGACTTGTTTCCTACCGAAGCGAGATTCGAAGCTATCCCGACTGCGATAGGTTAATAGTGCGGCCATCCGTGCGGCTGCTAGTCCGATGGCCGGCGGATCGTCCTGCTCATAGTACCCATCACAATACTTGGGATCTGAGTAGATGGATTGTCGTTGGGCTTCGCCCCAGCTGATCCCCCAAGCAGAGTGTCGAGGACAGGTGGCTATTGGTACAATATTCAGGACGTATCCGGGTGGAGTACAGAGAGGCCATTCGAGACAGGTCATGCCACCCATACTACCCCCGATGACGACGGAGACGGTCCGGACGGCGAAGTGATCCAGTAGAATCTTTTGAAGGTTGACATCATCCCTCATCGTAGTCGAGGGGAATTCGGGGCCCCATTTTTTCCCAGTCTTGGGATTAATAGACACAGGTGAAGCGCTTCCGTAGGGAGAACCGAGGGCGTTGGCGCAGAAGATGAAGTAGCGAGTCGGGTCGAACACCAAGCCCGGTCCGACCAACGGGCCCCACCAATCCTCGACATCAGCCGAGCCAGTCAACGCATGGCAGATCACCATGCAGTTCGTCCCTTCGTCATTCAGCTTGCCCCATGTACGGTATGCCAGTGGGACGTCCGTCAGCAGGACACCCGATGTCAGCCGGAACTGCGAGACGATGGCTATGTTTTGGTTGGGTATCAAATCCGTGAACGGCGTCTGAGGTGGTGTCTGTGGGAATGTAACTATCGGTCATTATAAAATACGCAAGACTTGAATTAGTACCTCGAAATAATACTTGAAGCGTGACCACTCACTGGATGTTTCTCCTGGCTGCATATCCAATTCCGAGTGTAAGTATTTACTGAAAAGTGTTGATGATCAGCCGTTCGGACGAAATGTAGTTTGTCTGTTCAAGTTCGCGATTTGCCGAGACACATGGATTTTCTTTTTCTTTTTTTTTGTGTAGGCCGGTTCGGATGAAAGAAATGAGAATATGCACAGTCGATGGCAGATCGGAAGGAGAGAAAAACAAAGTCGTGAGAAGTCTAGCCAATGTCGCAATTTCTGCGGAATATGTCCAATTGATGAGAAACGGACAGAAAGACAATCAGATGGTGTACAACATTGTAGGTGAGACCCTTCGCTAACCCCTTGCCGGGCTCCAACACCAATCTGTGTCATTCTGTTTCATCATCCGACGGTCTTGCGTTTTCTGGGGCCAGAGATCGGACGCGGTCTTCGGCATCATCCCGACCGGTCATCTCGCCATCTCTGCCCCCATGGGCCGGTTCATCAGCTTTGTTGGTTTCTGCGCCCCTCTTCGATACGATCCTGCAGCAGTGGTTTGAGGATGAATGATGTGCCGAAATACTCAAATCTTTGAAGGAAACTTCCTCACACCTCTGCGTCCCGATATGGACACCTCCCCCTCCGGAGAGTTGGATTTCTTTTTGGACACTTCAGATTGCAATCAAGCTCATGAAAAGTCTTCATCCTGTGCCACTTCTAAGTTCTGCCTTGACCCTTTTTCGAATATCCGTCAATCAATTTCCGTCTGACACTGATCGCAAACAGTCCCAATATTCGATCAACGGGTGACATGTATGTATCCAGCAGGGAATCAATCAAACGTTGTAGAAGCCATGGATATAGCTATGGGGCCTGCGGCCTGAATCAGGATAAGAACGTTTGGTCAGGTCGGTCGTTCCCGTTTGGGTTGCCCCACCGTTGAGCGTCCTAGGATGTCGGCTGCTGGGTCTTGAGGCCGATAGTTTCGTTCAGTCAGAGATAGTACAACATTTGGGCCCGGATTGGTGCCTTCCAATGAGCCATCGGATCAACTGCCAGGAGGGACTTAGTTAAGTTAGTGTAGAGTCGCGTTATGCCTTTCATTTGGACCAGTCCCATTATTCCTTTCATTTCATGGCGCAAACGAACCAACCTGACCAGCCTCCTGGCCTGCCGAGCCGGCAGTCCTTTTTGTTTATAAATAGCTGATCCATTCCTACTCTACCTCTATGAATCCTCCCACACCAAACCAAACACAACACAAACATCCTTTCTCAGCTTCTCAAAAAAAAAAATCACACCAGGTCAGCCAGCACTCTTGAACGATGAGTTTGTTCGACATCTTCCTGATAATCTTGCTCCTTTCTTCCTCTGCTATGTAGGACACGATGGCGTATGTTTTATGTGCTACCATCCCCCTGCTGTATCTTGGTAGGTTTATATTTTCTTTCTTTTGAACACATTTTGCATTACGAGATATTAACAACTACAAATTGGAACTACACTCACACACCAAAAGTCTACAAGTTGTTCACCAGACGAGACTCTGAACCAAAACTTACCGGTAAATCATATTGCCTCCATCTGATTTGAAGCCCCACTTGCTAACTATGTATCTCTTCTCTTCTTTTCTTTTCTTTTCTTTTTTTTTCTCTTGTAGAAGATCGCCTGCAGGACCAACTAAAACACCTAGAGAGGCGATTAAATCGGCTGGAGGAGCGATTAAATATGCAACAGGAGCTATTAAATACGCAACAGGAGCGATTAAATACGCAACATGCCTTTTCTTGCGACGTTGTTAACGTAGTACTCAAACGGCTAAATGACCGGCTCACGTTTGATCTCGATAATCGGTTGGCACTGGAGCGACTCGCGCAGACAGTGGCACAACTTGGAGCCAAATAGCCTTGCTGGACAATCCCAACAGTTACAAACATCACTTTTCTTCTTCCTTTATTCTTGCGTATATACCTTGTTGTTCAATTCTTTCCGCCTGGTTTCTTCTTAAAGATCCAATGGTCCTCCACAATTGTACTTGCTCAGAAGGTTCTCCGCTCACCGAACCTCTAGTCCTACGTTCTCATCTTACCATATATGCTGTGAATCTGGCTACTTTCCACTTGCAGACACTACAGTACTGGAGATACTACGCTTCGAGTCATTTGCAGACACTTAAATGTATTCAGATAGACAGGAGCTAAGGCCATCGCAAGAAGCGGCCCGGCCAGAAGACCCTGTCCAGCAGCGGGTACAATTGTATTTTTGGCTCTCGTTAACACAAAAAAAAAATTCACATGAATTCTTGCAATCAACTCACTGTGTTGATACATTACTTGGATATCAGACACACCAATCCAACCAGTGGGATAGACAACACTGATGGAAAGTATTATGTGTCTCATGATCAGAATACTCAACTTATTAATAGTATTTTCATCTCCATTAAAAGTGGATCATTAAGCCGATATTGATCATGTGGTGCGTCAAACACGGCCTTCATGAACGGTGGGATACCATCCTTTATTCATGTTTCCTTCCTAGGTCGGTTGGGCATTTTATGAAGCTGAGGAGAGTGGAGCATTTAAGATCAGCATGCTATCAGAAGTTTTGTTGGAGAGAAGTGAATGAATTCTAGATACCTGGTCGAGAAGGAGGACAAGAGGGGTCGGCGAGATTCTCGGATCCGTCGGCGCCAAAGATGAATCTGACGGTCACGTCATCCCTCCCAAGCCACTCTTTACCATCGGACTGTAGCTCATCAACCTCCTGACTGAGCATTGCGCCTCCGGCGACTAATCTGGGGGCAGGTTCAGAGCCGGAGGATTCGCGCCGTTGACTCTCGATCTCGCGGAGCTTGATCTTCAGTCCCGTCAGTTCGCTCGCCCCGGGGATCGGACTCGCAGTTGAACTGGGGAGCCCTAGCGCACTCGATTTCATCCCTTTGGCCTCCGACGGTGAAGAGGGCGATTGGTTTGTTTTGAGCGCCGAGGAGAGAGAGATCAGTAGGTCCAGAATCTGATGACAGACCTCTGGAGAGAAGGAAAAAGAACATGGTGTCAGTCACCAAAGCAAAGCATTCGAAAAAAAAAACAGATGAAAAACCTTCAATATCCTCAATATCTGCGTCATAAGGCACGTTCCAATTAGATTCAAATTTGCTCAGATCTTCTTCTTGAGGATTAGGGTACATGAAAGAGGCGAGGTATAGACAAGAGAGAGAGATGAGATGAGGAGGGTAAGTGAGTCCGACGAGGGTGCGATGGGAGTCGATTGCCAATCGAAAGCTGAGTTGGATGTGATTTCTAGAGAGTCCAAGCCTGCGCCCGATTCCGATCAAATAGCCAAACACATCCCTGCCGCCCGCCGGCTTACCCGATCCGAAGTCGAAGCAAACTGATTCGAGCAACAGGCGCTCGATGCCCGATAATCTGTGTCGTTCGGCCTCGATGATGCTCGGCTCTGGCTCCCCGAGTCCGTTGCCTCCCTCCTGTAAGTTCCGCACCAACCAGGCTGCTAGTTGGATCTCCCTTAGTTTCTTTAACGTGTCTTCTAGTTTCGAGGCTAGCCATACCGACGCTATCGATACATCATGGAGGTTGAAGTCTGAGAATGGAAAGAATAGATGGAATCTGTGGTAGAGTAGTAGGGCCGATCCGATCGTTCGCCTAGGACTGAAAACGACACATTTTTTTGTTGATTCACGTCCGAAGCGATACATGTTCAAAGCATTCGGAAGTGTGAACAGATAGAACAGATAAAGCTGTTGTCAGTTACATCGATCAAAGAGAATAAAAATAAAAGAGAGAGAGAGAGAGAGAGAGAGAGTTTAGTATGAATTTTGGCGACAATTGTCAAGAGTGAGGAGGGGCCCAGGCAAAACGTACAAGCCGAGACGACTTCCGATCTTATCGATGAACACGCAAGCCTGTTGTCGGATAGCTTCGACCCTAGCTGGCACCAGTTTAGCGGATTGTCTACGGAGCATCTCATCCACTTCGGCCAGACTGAAATAGGCCCGATACCGCTTGATGATACTCAATGAGTGGGGATGTGAGCCCCGGTTGGCCGTTCCGTTGGTTGCTGAGGCCGGTACGCGTTGGCCGGCTGAGTGGTCCATCCTGCTTCTAAAGTGTTGAAGTCTGCCACTAGTTGGGGGTTCGTTGCCGATGAAGTGCTCCTCCCGACCCCACTCCGCCAGTCAAAGTGCTCTTCCCCCGGGGGGTCTCCAGAGTAGCACATTGCTACACACACCATCCCAGCGCATGAGATTTCCAGCAATACCACTCTCAACAACCAGCCTACAGCACTCATGAATCCCTCTCAGCTCCGACAATGGGTCAGCGACAGTATCTTGAGACTATTCGAAATGTCGGACAGCGTCATGGTCGAATACATGATCAAGACGGCCACAACAGCACCATCGCCGGGCTCATTACTCTCCTCATTGATGTCCGTCGGCCTCAGTTCCTCCCCAGAGGCCGAATACTTCGTCAGCGAGCTCTTCAAGCGTGTCCCTCGGGCCTCCTCTTCATCGACGACCGCTGCCTCCAAGAAACAAGCTCAAGAGAATAGCAGGAAAAAAGCCGAAATGGAGGCCAAGGCATTACAGAAGCAAAAGTTTGGCCTGCTGATGGACGATGCTCCGGATGATTCAAAAGTCGAAATGAAGAAGGGGAAAAAAGAGAAGGGGACACTCAAGAGCAAGACAACCAATGTCAAGGAAGGATGGGAGAGCGACGAGGAAGAACGTGCTGCCAAAAGAAAACGATGGGCCGAAGGAACTCAACGGAGGGAGAATGAAGATGAAGATCAGACCCAAGAACCATCAGAGACTGAGGCTGAGCGGATCGAACGAGAACGTCTGCAAGATGCAAGAGAGAGGGACGAATTCGCAGAAAGGCTCAAGGCAAAAGACCGTGACAAGACTAAGAAGATAGTAGAAGATAAAACCTCGAAACTCACACCTGATCAAATCCGTCGAAGGAATCTAGAAAACGATGAGGAAGCTAGGAAGATGGCGATGCCCGAGGTCAGGAAGAGGGCCAGACAAGAATATCTCAGCAAACGTGAACTACAACAGATCGAATTACTCAAGCAAGAGATCATGGACGAAGAGGCCGATTTCAAAGGAGTCGTCATGACCCAGCGGGAGATTCGAGAGCTAAATAAAAAGAAAGAGGTCCTACGTCTAGCTCAGGAGAGGATGGGAATCGATGATGGCTACGAAGGCTACATGATGCCCGAAGGTAACCATCACAATCGCTCAGTATGACATCAATGTGAAGTGTCCAAGGTAGTTACTTATCTTGTCCTGCTTAGATTATATAACTGAACAGGGTCGCCTGGACAAAAAGAAGAAACACGACGCCTTATACAAGCGTTACGAAGAGAGTAAGAGGCCAAATGATGAGTTTGTAACGGATGTGGACCGCTATGAGGCTATTCAGACTCAAAATGCTACGACCACTTATGGCGCGATGGACCGATCGGTGCAAGTCGAAGATTACGATTACGTGTTCGATGAGAGCGCGACAATAGCTTTCCTGGTCGATCAAGATAGTCGGATTGGCGGGACACTTAGTGCGAAAGACGCGGCCCTCCAAGCCCAGATCGATGCTGCAGAACGTCGAGGTATTTGCCTTTATTTTCGATCGGGGTTTGGAAGATGTGATACTTACTTGATTTTTTTTTTGAATTTGATTCATTTGTTGGTCCATCACGTTTGAAGCAAAATCGATCGATGAAGTTCGAAAGTCACTTCCTGTTTACGAATGGAGAGAGAAGCTACTCCAAGCAGTCTCAGAATATCAAGTGCTGATTGTCGTTGGAGAAACAGGCTCAGGGAAGACGACCCAACTGCCTCAATATCTGCACGAGGCGGGGTATACCAAAGATGGCGGGAAAATCGGCTGCACGCAACCTCGACGAGTTGCGGCAATGTCGGTGGCTGCTCGAGTGGCTGATGAAATGGGCGTCCGAGTTGGAGATGCCGTTGGTTACTCGATTCGGTTCGAAGATTGCACTTCTCCTAAGACCGTCATCAAATATATGACCGACGGAATGCTGCTCAGGGAATTCATGACCGAACCCGATCTGGCTGGCTATAGTGCCATGATTATCGATGAAGCTCATGAGCGTACGCTGAGTACAGATATTTTGTTAGGCCTCGTCAAGGTAATAAAAACTATGAGGTGTCTTCAAGGTATGAGGGTACGGATTATACTCATGTTTTTGTTTCTCGATAGGACATTGCTCGTTTTAGACCCGACTTCCGGCTTCTGATCTCCAGTGCGACAATGAATGCCGCGAAATTCTCAGAATATTTTGATGATGCTCCAATCTTCAATAGTATGTACCCTTTCTTTCATCGCCACTGATGGGTGATGCTGAACAAGAATTTTCTCCATAGTTCCGGGAAGAATGTATCCAGTAGATATCCTGTACACTCCCAACCCAGAGGCAAACTATCTCCATGCAGCAGTGACCACGATCTTCCAAATCCACACCACCCAACCAAAGGGTGACATCCTGGTATTTTTTACTGGCCAAGATGAGATCGAAGCCGCCCAAGAAAACTTAGAGGAAACCGCAAGAGCCTTAGGCAATAAAATCGGGGAATTGATGATCTGTCCGATCTATGCCAATCTACCCACCGAGATGCAGGCTAAGATCTTTGAGCCAACGCCTGATAGAGCTCGCAAAGTCGTCCTGGCTACTAATATTGCCGAAACTTCGATCACTATCGATGGCGTGGTTTATGTCATCGACCCCGGTTTTGTGAAACAGAACTCTTATAACCCTCGTACCGGTATGGAATCTTTGGTTGTCGTTCCTGTTTGTGGTTACTCGTTTCGGTTCTTATTATTTGCTTGGCGTTTTTTTATGCTGAGATCCGCATGGCTCTGATTTGATTTTTTTGATAGTGCTCACGTGCGGCAGCCAATCAACGTGCTGGTCGAGCGGGACGAGTAGCCCCAGGGAAATGTTTCAGACTATATACGAAGTCAGCTTACATGAAAGAGCTAGACGAAGACACCGTTCCGGAGATCCAACGAACGAACCTAGCCAATGTGGTGTTACTGCTCAAGTCATTAGGGATCAACGATCTGATTGGCTTTGATTTCTTGGACCCACCTCCGGGCGATACCCTGATACGAGCCCTCGATCTTCTCTACGCTCTTGGCGCTTTTAACGATCGTGGGGAGCTGACGAAGATCGGGAGGAAGATGGCCGAGTTTCCGATGGATCCGATGCTCTCGAAAGCTATCCTCGAAAGCGAGAAACATCAGTGTACGGAAGAAGTCCTCTCGATCGTCTCCATGCTTTCTGAGAGTAGCTCTCTCTTCTATCGTCCCAAGGATAAGAAGCTGCATGCAGATCGGTAAACGTCCTTTTTTTTTCTTCTGATGATGCCATAAAGAATCACGTTTCTGATCAGCACTGCAACTCCCCTCCCTTGATCCTTAAATCTATCCGAATGTTTGACGGTTGATGACCGATTAGGGCCCGATTGAATTTCGTGCAACCTGGCGGGGACCATTTCACGTTGCTGAATGTGTTTGAACAATGGAAGGAGACGAACTGGTCGATCTCATGGACGTATGAGAACTACGTCCAAATCAAGTCCTTGAATCGCGTCCGCGATATCCGAGATCAGTTGTCAAGCTTGTGTGAACGGGTCGAGATCTTGCCTGAATCTAATCAGAGCGGATCTATCGAGCCCATTCAGAAGAGCTTGTTGGGCGGCTATTTCATGAATACTGTTCGTCCTCTTTCTTATCACTAACCTCTCTTCTGAGATCTGACCTTTTTTTTGTGTAATTAGGCTAGGCTTGGGAAGGGCGGTGACTCGTATCGGACATTGAAATCGAATCAATCGGTGTACATCCATCCATCATCTAGTTGTTTTAATACACAACCCCCACCAAGAAGTAAGCACTTTTTGTTTCTTCCTCTCATTTCTCAATTTAATTAAATCTTTCTTAAAATCAAATTTTTGGTTAATCATTGTTTTTTTTTTTTTTTCGTTTCCGAAAAAAAAAAGTGATTCTATTTTATGAATTGGTGTTGACTAGTAAGGAATACGCTCGACAAGTCATGCAGATCGATAAGCCGGAATGGCTCCTTCAAGCCGCTCCTCATTTCTTTAAGCCTGCCGATCTGGAAATTTTGTACGCTTTCTTTTCTTTTCTTTCCTTCTCTCTTTTCTAAAAAGGGTTTTTTTGAACTGTATGCTCACATCTTATGTACTATCGTATGTCTCCACAAATGTAGTGGGAAGAAAAAGGTTCCGAAACAAGTTCAAGTGCGGAAAGCTGATCAATGAATATCTACATTCGAACTTCACACAATACTTCCATGTAATCAAATAAACATATTACTCCAAGAGAAAGACAAAAAAAAGCAGAGCAGTTGTGTTCTTCCAACATGAGATCAAGTGCTCATTTGACTGTCTGTCAATCAAACAAAAGCATTTTTTTTTCTTGTATGTGTACCATGATTGAGGGTGGGTAGTTTATGAGATGAGGGAGGAGAGGACACCAATTTGTTCATTTTATCAGAACTGTGAGTTTACTCGCCGGGGTTGAGCCCCTGAAGTTGGTTTTGCTACTGCTCTCCGATACAAATACAATTGGAACTTGAGCAAGCAGGATTCTGTTGGCTATGTATGTATGCGACGGTTGTGAATGGTTGGATGTTTGTAAGATTGTGTGATTAAGTTCATTTAACAACTTCCAGTGGACGGCAGAGTCAGGGAAGTCCATTTCCAGACAATCACATGTTCACCACAAGCAAAACGCGGACTCAGACACCACCATCTTTATGCATCCATTGCTTCGAAGGCAGCAGATGAGAAATTATCTTGAATTGGTTTCAGGGTCAATCGACTGTCCAAGAACCCACCCAGACTCAAACACATGTCCAACTACTTGACCTAGCAACAACAGTCTCGCAATCGATTTTTTTTCATTCCTACTGGACTCTGACTCGACTTGACCAAACCAACATACATTCCTCGATGGCCGACGATCCCGCGCTCAGTCGACGACTGAGAAATGTTAAGCATATTATCCTGGTCCTTTCAGGCAAAGGAGGAGTCGGAAAGTCATCGGTGTCAGTTCAACTAGCGCTCTCACTACTGAATCGGACGAAGGATGCCAAAGTCGGGCTCCTGGACATCGATCTCACCGGGCCATCGATCCCGCGGATGCTCGGGCTCGAGGGACGCTCCGTCCTACAGTCCACTGACGGCTGGGTGCCCGTTCATACCTCCTTCAACAATCATCATCCGTCGTCCGACGTCCAGCAAAGCTTGAAATGCATGAGCATCGGCTTCCTCCTCAACGATCCCAAGGATAGCGTCGTCTGGAGAGGACCCAAGAAGAATGCTATGATTCGCCAGTTCTTGGTCGATGTCTGTTGGGGAGAGCTCGACTGGCTGATTATCGACACTCCACCCGGTCCGTTCCCTCGCTCCCTGCTTCTCCTTTTTTTTTCGGGAGGTTTTTCAAGTTATGATAAACCAGAAGACTGACATCCTTGATTTTTGAATTTTTCTAGGTACATCCGACGAGCACATCTCGCTCTTAGAGCAACTTTCCCCGCTCCTAGTCCACCAATCCCAAGCCACAAGCCCATCAGAGCCGCGGAATCTTCCGAGCCTCTCCTCGGTCCTAGTGACGACCCCACAAGCAGTGTCTCTCTTAGACGTGTCGAAGGAGTACGACTTTACGAAGAAGACCGGGCTGCGGGTGCTCGGCCTGATCGAGAACATGAGCGGGTTCATCTGTCCGCATTGCCAGCAGATCCAGAACATCTTCGGCAGCGGTGGCGGACAAAGCTTTTGTGAGAAAGTCTCGAACAGTACTCAGCCTGATGGCGACTCGCACGATCAGCACCCGTCGCTTCGGTTCCTCGGAAAAATCCCCATCGACGTCCAGTTCATGAAGCTCATGGATCAGGCTACTAATCCTGATCAACAACCCGCCTCTGACCCCTCAAATCTGATGCATCCCCCCGCCTCTTCTCCGAACGCTAACTCGCTCCTCATCGACCGCTACTTCGATACTGTGTCCTCTAAAGTCTTCGCTGAGATTTGTTCACTGATCGTTCAATCGATCACCGGATCATCTGCTATCTAATCTCAACCCTCCATCTATCCATTATATCCTATCTCTCTTCTCTCTCTCTCCCCTTTATCTAGATAATAGGATTTTGTAATCAAATTGACTTCGGTCTTGTCATTTATCTATTCATACAGCAACCCAAAAAGAAACAAACAAATAAGACCAAGAGAGCAACATGTAAAACAACTTACAAGGAGTGTAGTATAAAGAAACCTTGGAGGATTTTCTACACGATTGTAGAGTAATAAGATGTAAATTGCGCTTGGACAGTTTGCATTTCCATACACATGGTAGTTTTACAGAGATGAATTTGTACAATTTCATTATGACCCTATATATCAATTGGAATCTTTGCGGCTCTCTGGGGTCGTTCTGGAGCTCTAGCTAATGCTCTTAATCATCTTGAAAGCATGACACATCCACTGGGAATGGCCAAAGGAAAGGTGGAAGAAAGGAAGGAAAGGTATACGGTGTCTCCTCCTGAAATACTTCATTTTACCAATCTCTCAACAATCAACGCGAGTTTCTGACAAATTCTGTTCATGATATTATTGAAACAAAAACACTCTCTGTATTGTATGTCCAGCAATAAATTAATAATGTACGAAACCCCAAGCAAAGGTACCGTAAAGCAATGGTTATCAAGGTTGGAGAGCTGGGGCTGGATGCAGCCTGCAGGCCAGGCCGCCAGTCCACACCTTATCCAATGGAGGAATCCGGGTGACCTGGTGGCATCAGGCTCTGTCTTCATGGTGGCGGGAGTTGCTTTCTGTTCCTTTTTTTGGTGGAAGACCTTACTTAGAGTGAAGTAATTTGGCCTAGCACACACCCCGATTTGCGAATCTTACTGGATTCATGGATCCAATGATAATCCATCTCAAGTGAGATTGGCCATATGTGAACCCCCCCTTCCTCTCCTAGATTATTCTCGACATCTACAAATTGGCAGTATTTGCACTAGGAGAGCCCCCTTGAAAGCTAAATTTCCATGGTTTATTTTCTGAGGGGGGAGGGGGGGGTTGTGAATATGTGTTACCAGGTCTTGTCTGTCCCATCTGATCAGTCCTGAACTTGAGCACAATTTTGCACTGAAACCTCCACATTGAGGGCATTAATGATTTTGATTTTGGCCACAATAGTAGGAATCACTTGGGCACTCTTTCAGACTGGTAATTTTGGTTGAATCAAGATCCTTTTTGTAAGTAGCGTCTGATTAGGGCAAAGTGTATGGGATCCCATGAAAATCTTGCCAGAAATGTGGTTTTGGACAGTCTCAAGATGATTTTGTTCCTATGATTGATACATCAAAATTTCGAATCCATGGTCAAGATTTGTTGGGTATAGCTGTAGTTATGACCCAGCTTGAGAGGAATGATATTCTTTACAGTGTGTTTCTCATGGGATTTGGGATTCCTTCAAGAACAGTTTTATGTAGAACACAGTTCTTTGGGTGTATGATAATATAAAATACACATTAGCCAGGTTCTGGAAGTTGGTTTTTGAAAGGGAAGAAGATCATCATGTACAGTTATCTTAAGTTAAGCTAAATAGTAGGATCCTCTATGTACTCGATAAGGTAAAAAAGAAAAGAAAGAAGCATACATAAATAGATGATGTTTATATATGTATTGTAAGAGATAAGAAGTGAAACCTCTCCAATCTCAGTCTTGTTTTAACGCCGAGGTTGGATTTCCCTGATTGCATGTAGCAAGGTTTCCTCTGAGGTTGTCTGAGCCGATTGGATGCTTTCGAATTGATCGTCATTCAGCAGTGAGAGAAGGCTGATGATGTTCCTTATAAAGTAAACTGTAATGTATCAATCTGTGCGGTGCGTGCTATGAGATCATCAGCTTGTGTCGGGTATACCCTATATCTTGATATTGTACACACCTCATTCGAATGATTTTTGTTTTAATTTTGGCTTGCAGACTTCCAGACGGCAGCCCCTTTAATGGTGTTTTTTTTTTTCTTGATCTCACGTTCGATCTCTCCACCTGGGCTGATCGGTTTTTAGGCCACCGAGCTGAGCGAGGTTTGCTGAGATGTGCACCCGATTGATTAAAATCAAGTCGGCATCGATGTGGTGTACAACAACCACATTCTTCTCCTCCTCCTCCTCGTTCTGTTCTTTCTCTTGTTTTACGTAGATCTCACATTCCACGACATCGTTGGACTCGAATTGCGAGTTGCAGGGTGCAGGTTGTATTTTGATGCTGATCATGTGCCTTTTGGACTCGGTCAATGGGGAGGCCAGTCGGAGGCTCACTGAAATCAATACGTAATTTGCGTGTTTGTTGATGGTTGTAGCCGGTTTTTTCCAGTTATATATTTTATTTTATTTTTGATTGGATTAAATCTGTAGTATGTATGAGTGGCTTGAATCAGCTTAAGTCCATAGGCTTTTTTTTTGAGTTATTGTAGCCCAGACTGGTTGGTTTACCTCCACTCACTCGAATTTCCAACTTGTTGTTCTGCGCCTGCCAATTACAATACTCTTATTAAATTTCCTGCTCATCTCTTCTTCCTTTTCAACCTCAACTCATACACCAGCCCAGCTCCCCGTGCACTCCTCAACATAAACACACCACTCACCACCCACTGCTGTCGTCCACCCTCAGCAGCCTCCTCCCCCCCCCCCCTCCCCTATTCTTCCTTTTCACTCAAACGGCTTACTCAAGTTCCAGCTGCTTCCTATTCCCCCTCCCCTTCTCCTGCTAACAGCTCGTCCACCTACCATCTCCTGCTCTCCTCACTCTTACCCAACCGAACCAAGCTGCCAATCGATCCAACCCCGCCTCTCCCAGACTGATCATTCATCTCGGCCCCTTCTCCGCTGTGATCCGATCGCCCACTTGGTTCACCCCCTGAAAGACTCTCTTCAACTCACTCCACACCACACCCTCCCCTTTAGCTTGCTCTCCCCTCGCAACACTCATCATGTCCACCGATATTCAGGAAAAGATCGCCGCCGCTCGCCGGGAGGCCGAAACACTCAAGGAGAAAATCAGAGCCAAACGCGACCAACTGGCTGACACCACCCGTATGTCCCTGTCTTTTTTTTCCTTTTTTTCAATTCGAATGACTCATTCACCTCGACCGTGGCTGACTATCGCTTACGCAACCTCCCCTCCAACCGTCGATGTTCGTCAACTTGTTTTTCTTATTCCTGCTCCCTCAACCGCCATCCGCGTCCGCTCTCAGTCCGGGCCATGGCTGCTGAAATCGACCCGCTGCCTCGGATTCCCATCAAACCCCGGAGAACCTTGAAGGGTCATCTGGCCAAGATCTACGCCATGCACTGGGCTCAGGACCAACGCCATCTCGTCTCGGCCTCCCAGGACGGTAAACTGATCGTCTGGGATGCTTATACGACCAACAAGGTTCATGCTATCCCGCTGCGTTCCTCCTGGGTCATGACCTGTGCCTACGCCCCATCTGGTAACTTCGTTGCCTGCGGTGGTCTCGACAACATCTGCTCGATCTACAACCTCCGATCGAAGGAGGGCTCCGTCCGGGTGGCTCGCGAGCTGAGCGCCCACACCGGCTATCTATCCTGCTGCCGATTTTTGAATGACCGTCAGATTCTTACCTCGTCTGGAGACATGTCTTGTATGCTTTGGGATATCGAGGCAGGCGTTAGAGTGGTCGAGTTCAACGACCACTCAGGTGATGTCATGAGGTTAGTCTGCTCGCTCTCCCATTTACCTGATCGGCTTGAACAATCGTTGAACTCGGTTTTCATCCAGTCTCTCGCTCGGCCCAAATCTGAATACATTCGTCTCCGGGGCTTGCGACGCAACTGCCAAGGTTTGGGATGTTCGGACAGGGAAGGTGGTCCAGTCCTTCGTAGGACACGAATCCGACATTAATGCTGTATGGTGAGCCTCGCCTTCTCACCCTGTCAAATTTCACTCCGCTCAACCTGAAACTTACAATTCGCCTTCCACCCACTCGTGTTGAATTCAGCTTCTTTCCGAATGGGGATGCCTTTGCCACGGGCTCAGATGACGCTTCTTGCCGACTGTTCGACCTAAGGGCAGACCGGGAACTGAATCAATACACACACGACAACGTGCTCTGTGGGATCACTTCCGTTGCATTCTCGGCTTCCGGAAGAATCCTCTTTGCCGGTTACGACGACTTCAACTGTAACGTCTGGGACACGCTGAAGGGCGAGAGAGTCGGCGTTCTAGCTGGTCATGAGAATCGTGTCAGCTGTCTCGGAGTCTCATCAGACGGGATGGCACTTTGCACAGGTAGCTGGGATAGCATGCTCAAGGTGCGCAGGAACCTTGTAATTCATTCTTGTTTGTCAAACTGACCTTGTTAACCTCTTGTGATCGACTTCTAGGTCTGGGCATGAGCACCCATTATCAGCCTCTCCGGACTGCAACATATTCAAACCCCATCCACCTTCCAAACCAACTGAAACCAAACATCAACCCAGAGCAACCCTTAGTCTTTAATCACCAGCTTGTGCAATCTAGACATGTTAATCATGGTTATGACTGTTTTACCACACACTGTCCTTCCAGGCTTTGTCCAGTCACTCCCTCATTCATTTCTTCCCTCTGCTCCCTTCCCCTCCTTTACCTTACCACTTGCAAGCACTTGTCTTCATGAGCTGCAAATCACTTGGTTGTTCCCTCCCATCCACCCCCCATGCACTCCAAGCCTTCCCATTGAGAGAAAACACCACCACCCTCCCTCTCTATCTTTGGCTTTTTTTTATCATACAAGAAGAACTAAAACCAAACCACAGATACAATAAAAAAAAAGAAACCAACAGACCCATTTCCCATCTCTATACCTCCATGCACTATGTTAGTTTTCTTTGAATTGTTTTTGGGAGATCACTACAAATTTGTGTTACCTTGGGTTCTTTCTTTGCTGTTTTTTTTTTTGTTGTTGTCCTTTTTTGTATTGTGTTCGTTTGTTTTCATTGGTTTAATTCTGGCCTTGTGAGGAAAGCTTGTTTGTCTCCAAAATCAAATCACTTGATCTTGTTCCACTTCTTAGTCATTTGCTTTTTTTTTCCGATTCATATTGCTTTTTTTTGTTTCTTTACTTTTTATCCTTTTTCCTTTCACCATTCACACTTTTATTCAATCAACCAATCACTATCCTTATTACCACATTGTTTTTCTTTGGCTGTGATTCTATCTCTTCCCTCCTTTCTTTTTTCAGATCATCTTCTTTTAGTTCTTTTTTTTCTCTCTCTCTTCTTCTTCTTCTTCTTTTGTTTGTTTGGTTAATCCTATTTCTTTTTTTGAAACTTATTTATTCAAAATGATATACATCTACAAACATACAACCCAAACATATCCTGCATTACTGTATGTGTGTGTTTTTTCTTCTTTATTTGGTTTTTTTTTGGTCTGATTATCTACATGCTAACCAGATGATGATTGAATTTGTTGAGGACATTCTTCTCCACTTCCACTGCACATGGAACACATGTGTGTGTGTTTTCCTTTTCTTCTAGGATTTCAATCTGCTACCATTCCCTGGTACTACTTTTTACATAGTATACAGCTCTCACCTCCAGTCCTACACAAACCCCTCATTTCTTCTTCTTTTTTTTCAATTCATTCCTCATTTCTTCTCCTTTTGTTGTTAGGTTGCAGGTTCTTTTTTTTTTTGGTTACTTTGGATTGGGAACTTTTTATGAATATACTTGTGTGGCGCATTCGTTCATCCAGTACATATCATGAATAAGTGTGCATTGGTTTTGTGCCACAAAAAAAAAACAAGTGAAGAACCTCTGGTGGAAGATCAATAAAAACAGAACCAAAACCATCATTGGGAGAAGAAGAATCCTTCTTGTTGGACTGAGGCTTGGTAAGACAATCCATGCCGCAAGGGGAAAAGCTTCAATTGTCTGGTTTGTGGGTCAGGATTAGCGCTGGAACCCGTACCCGGGTCCTCCGGGTATACCCGCCAGGTACACCGAGGGTATATGTGAGCCTGGGTCTCAAGAGTGACAACAGGACACAAGGTATGGGGGGCAATTCTAGATGTATTTCAAGGGGATAAAGAAATACAACTAGAATAAGAGAAAGGGAGAGAGAAAGAAATTAGAAAAGAAATGAATAATATCTTTTATTGTTTATTTGTTTGATAATCAAGGTTTACTACAGTCTTACTTTCCTTTAAGGATGGCTGTTATTAAGCGGAATTAATCTACGCCTCCTATCAACTGAAACTGAATAGGGTACTTGGTATTGAATATATGTCAATCCAACCTCAATTTTTTAGATCTATGATCAAGGTTCTTTAAAGGGAAACCTATGTGGTTTTCAGTTATACCACCAAACAGAGAATAATGATGACTTGATTTGATTTGATGATGATTAAGGCAGAGGTTTAGTAGAAACAGAATGATGTGATCATTCAGAGAGACAGAGAAGGAACTTAGCAGAAAGATGCAAGCTGAACTTGTGGAGTGACTTACTTATTGGTGATCCTGACACGATGAGTGGGAAGATTCCAATAGTTAAGGGACTCCAAACGATAACACGGCGATGATGCGGCGGTGAAGTATCCAAGTTGAGGTTGGTGATTTCTGGTCTGAGTTGGTTCTGGGTGGGTCTGAAGCTTGAAGATCCTGAAAATGCAAACTCAGTATCCTCTGAGAGAATTTTCAGAGTTGGATTACATAATCACAACATGTTCATGTGGTAGAGAGTTGGAATTCCAACTTGGTTGATATTTCACAAGGTACGATGAAATATTACAAAGTCTATGAAGGAGAAGAGTAGTGTAAAAGTGTGTAGTGGTGACTAAGGTTAAAATCACATGGGGAATTCATTTCTGAAGTCAGAATGTAATAAAATCAAGAGATAAAAAAGTTATAGTACAAACATAGCTGAAAAGGAGGAATTAAGCAGTCTTTTGGCCAGCTTGGCTGGCTCTAAGGCTGACAGTATAGGGCAACGGGACAGCTCACGAGTTGCCCAAACCCCGATGGGTACATAGGGTATAGTTCACCGGCTACCTTGAAGATACCTGCGGGTATCTTTGGTTTGGCAGAGGGGGGGGGGGAGGAGGACAGAGTAGTAGAGTACCAAGGATTCAGGGCCAAATGGCCGTTGTATAACACATTTTTTTCTTTTTTCACTCGGAATCAATATGACATGTATTACTGTTGGAATTTCGTCTCTTTCTCCTCATCCCTAAAAATCCTTCTGTTACACCTTTCTGTTTTAATGATATTTAGATGAAAAATCATTAATTTTACTGTGTCTTGTAAGTGTCTGAGTAGCACCTTTTTCATTGTCTAGTGCTGCAATCCCTGTAGTCTTCGAACCCGGGTCTAGTCTTTATCAATGATTATTTGCTCCTGTCATCTTTTTCATGCATGTGTCAAATTGTTATTCATTTCAATATTCATTATTCTTCTCACCCACATGTTTAACCTCTTGTATGTAGACTACTTAACGCCTAGTCTCATCTAAGTAAAACACCATCGGTTCTCTCCTTCATTTTTTGACCCTTTGAGCCGTTCCAACAAAAACCAATTTTGTTGCCACAAATTTCTCCTAAAAAAATTTCCCTTCCTCGGTCAAAATTTCTTCAATTACAATCCAGGCTTGTATGTATGTAAAAAGGAAAAAAAAAAACATAAGGGCAGTCAATTGTTATCAACATCAACATGATCCTCGTTTTCATCATCATCGTCGGTGTCCTCTTCATCATTGTTGTCATTGCCATCGATATCTTCTTCACTGTTTTTCTTGAGAGTTTGATGGTTGACGACCAGTTTTGGGTGTGGAATTGGTGTTATTTGGTTGAATCACCTCGATATCCTTGATATCCTTGCTCTTGTTCTTGCCGGCCATAATGATAGGTTGTAGACTGGATTAGGTGAGAGTTTTTGGTGGTGACATGTTTGTTTGAACTTTGCCTGACACTATAGATACTTATGCTTTGTACACACTTTGGCGGGTATACCCTTTTATGGCCGGGTATACCCTATAAGGGCCGGGTATACCCGCCTCAGAAAAAATCCCGCGGGTACCCGTGTCCCGTTCCTATACCCTCGAGTATGGCTCAGGCGCGCTGATTGATGTACCCAAGCAACGGGTATACCCTTGGTTCGGAGCGCGGTCCAGGTCAAAGTAGCTGGGTAACCCGCGGGTTCCAGCGCTAGTCAGGATGGACTGGGGTGTGTTACAAAAACACTGACCTGTCCATCCCATTTGTATTTACCTGGGTTGGGAAGACCTAAAACAAGGAGCCTAGAAAAAAAAACTCCTGTTCTCTAGCCAACAACTCCCAACAACCATTGACAGACTTCTGTTGGGGTCTTCTAAAAGGCTTCCCATCCAATTGTTTTTTATTTCTTTTTTTTTGGGAAGCCAGCTTCCCAAACAACCCTCATGCAACAATGAAACTGATCTGATCCCCGGATCAGTATTTATTGGGGATTGGATTGAAAATGGGCCCGATACTGGGTATTGGTATTGGATCAATTGTTGATGTCTAAGCTCAATGCTCATGCCTTTCCTGAAGTCTTAGGCCATCCTTATCTCTCAAGATCGAAATACTCAAGCCCTCACGATGACATCACTACGCTTGGACTAGCTGACATCATCACGCTTGGACTTCCTCAATTTATCCTTATAATCTCGTATCCTCCTCCCCTCAGAATCGATTCCTCAGGATCTCTTTCTTCCCTCTGGATTTCGTTCCTCGTCCTTTCTAACCCCTCCTTCACATCATCCAGATACTTCTCTTCGACTTATCGATCCCTCTACATCACATCATCTATTCACATACTCTTATCATTGTTCTCCTTCTCCGATAACAACTAACTTATCGTTGTTCTCCTTCTCCGACAACAACTGACTCCATTGAACCGTCTCGATCCTCATATCGACAAATCCCTTCTATTCGACAAACTCGCCGATCTCCTCCTTTCTGAAATCTTCTCTCAGATTATCGTAGGTTTCAGTCGGTCTTCTCTCGTCACTGTCCTGATATTGACCTATCCTCTTTTATTAGACTTCTCTTGTTTTTTTTTATTATCTATCATAGTACATTGTTGTTCTTTCTTATTAGCCACCTACTGCTTTTAGGTGACTACTATTTCTTATTTCTTTCTATTTCTTATGATGTATTTCTTTCAGCTGGTACTTATGAAATACATCCTTTTAGTCTAAACACTCACAGATTTACAGTCTCGAACGCTCATTCATAACGAACGACGCTCAAAATCGAAAGCAGTATGGCGGACAACTCCGAACAACAATCAATCAAGACGGAGCACCTCCTCCCTATTCTCAATGGAAAGAATTATCCATCGTGGTATGGTCGGATGAAGGTGCAACTCCGCGGCAAGGACCTCTGGTCGGTATGCATCACTCCTCCCGTCGAAACTAGCGTTTCAACAATCGTCACTCCAAGCTCCACTCCTGATAACTCAAACACATCCAGCGATCGCGCAATCTCGATCATCGTTCCTCGTCTAAGCCAACGCTGTTATAATGAATGCGTCAATAGCACTACGATCGACAGCGCTTATCTCCTCTGGAAGAAGATTGCTGACCAGTATGCTTCAAGGACGGTCATCAATCAAGGTCGAGTCTATATGACATGGTCGGCATTGGTCTATAAGGGCGATCTTCAAAGTTACATCGACGAAACTCGAGCTTGCTTGATCGACATCGATGCAGTCGGAATCAGTGTCCCTGTAAAAGTAATCGCTTATCTTATTCTTGGCAAACTCATGAATCAAGATCTCGATCAGATCGTCGACAAACTTGCTCTCGATGAAAAGGCCATCTCTGATCCATATGCCGTACTGAACGAACTTCAAACTTATCAAACTCATAAATTCAGTAAACCAGAGAAAAGTGTCGCTCTGTACACTTCCACACCGGCAACTCCAAAGTCAAAGTTTCCAACAAAGACTCT